TAGTCCTTCTATGGATGAAATTTCTAGCATGTTATAGACACTCATAGACATCTTATGATACAATAAAAGTGATAATTTTTTTATAAACTAAAAATATATTTCAGATAACACCCAGTATAATTTTTCACCCCTAGCTACTATAAATTCTTAAAATACGTTACATGATTTGGTTTTAAATTTGTTGTAATGTGTCCCTTGTTTTAGAATTCGAGGATCAAAGATCAAGATTTTTTGCGGAACATGAACGTTTTGACGACTTCATGGAAATGAGAGAAGGCCTAGATCTTATAGGAGTCAGCTCATTCAAAGAATATATGGTAGCTTATAGGTAACTTTCTGAGTGTTTAGTATTATGTGCTACTTTAAGGAAAAGCACTTAATGTATTTATAAACTCATGTTTTATTTTCAGAGAAGCTGATCAATGCCCTTGGTATTCTTCGCAAATATTATTTTGGACTTTGTCATGTTTACTACTTTCTTGGCCTCTCCGAATTTTTATAGAATGTAATACAGCTTATGTGCACTATACGGTAATATTTTAAAATTTAGCTTACTCCTGAAACGTTCACCAATTTGATTAACTATTCTTCTATCTTATCTTATTTATCTTTCAGATTACTAAAATATTTGGTACGAATTACGAACTAGATCCTAGCCGCCAACTTGATTTAGACACACATTTATCGGACACATTACCACCAGTTCCTGCCTCAAATTACGCATGGAATCTTGCTGATGAGCAAAGTGCAGTGCTATGTTCTGCACCCCGTCCACCTCGGACTCTTCCTTTATCTCATGCGTCTACTGTAGATAGTCTTGAATTGTTTGCTGCAATCCGAGGTAATTGTGCCTTAGTGCCTTCTTATTCAGAAGCGATGCGAATTGATGCCGCCCTAAATGAAGATCCGACTGAAATAGCATTAAATACTGGGGTTCTGATTGACATAGAATCTGAACAAAGACATATTAGGCCGACTGTAAAAGCTGCATCTTTTGATGAGCCTCCGCGACGACCAAAAGTTGTAATAGCAAGCACACATTCCAGTAGTAATATTGTTGCAAGCAACCGACATAATGAAAATAAACAACAAAACAGACGGTCTTGGGCTGGAGTTTTGACAACGGCTAGAAGTGCAAGGCAAATCTTAGAAGATTTTACAAGCAATGCTTCAGCTAATTATCAAGTTATGCCAGATCACCAAATAAGCAGAAACGGAGAAGGTACTTTATATTTTTCTAGGGAGTTATCACCCACTTGTTCGCGAGATCCTTTCGGAGGTCGAGCACAAACAACACCTACAGATGAGCCTCCACCTTATGAAGAAGCGTTAAAACTTCCAGTTTTACGAAGACTCACGAGATCAATAACAGGTACAGAATTAGCAGGACCCAGAAGAGCATTTCTTAGGGACGTGATTGCTAATAGAAGGTCATGTTTAGACGGTGTTGGGGTATTGACAGGAGCTAGAATAATAAGACTACCTAATTGTGAACCTGGGGAAGAAACGCCTCTATAGCATTTCTTATTCAGTAATGGCTTCATAGCTTTTAAAACTGCTGAATAAATAAAGACGTATTAAAATAACGCTTTGATATGATAAAACTGAAAAAATAATTTAGTGGAGAAAGAGCTTGCCTAAGTTCTAGTTTACGTATTTATATTTATATTTAATAATATTTAAAATTGGAATTGAACAACACAATTTAACATCTGTGTAGTTAATCGTCCATAAGTGCAAAAGGTAATAAAGTAAACTATTGTATAGTAAATAATGAATTTGTATACAAAATTTGTAAATAATAATTATGATAGTTACAAATAAAAAATGTAACAATTTTAGCCTACGCTTGGGTACTTTAACCGCGCAAAGCTTTTTGTGTTATTGTATATAATATATGTGTTATTTATGTAATATTTAAAGTTTATCCATTTCCTAGCCTAATGATGTCAATTAAATATAAGATTTCTCCCTTCCCTGCTACAGTAACTCTTATTTAAAGCAGTTATTTTTAATATCTTATATAAGTTGCAGGCATTTATAATGTATATTTTTGACCATCTAGAAAATTATAAAATACATAATACCTATTTATTATGTTACACTTGGGTTTAAAGGAAAAGGGTCACAGCAGGACTGCAAAAACTACCGTAGTATCAGCTTGCTTAGTATTGCGGATAAACTGTATGCTAAGGTGTTAATTGAAAAAATTATGAAAGAAACTGATGGAAAAATTTGGGATGTGCAAGCGGGTTTTAGAAAGGGCATGGGGTGTACAGATCAAGTCTTTTCCATGCGTATGATTGCGGAGTAGTTTTTGGCCAAAAACCAGAAAGTTTTTTGTGCGTTCATGGACTTGGAAAAGGCTTATGACAGAGTGGACAGGAATGTGTTATGGCAAACACTGTACTCATATGGGTTGAGCGCTGGTTTGATACAGGCATTAAGGTCTCTTTATAGGGACTCTAGTGCTTGTGTCAGGATCAATGGGGTCTACTCGGACTGGTTCGGCATCCAAAAAGGTGTCAGACAGGGCTGTGTAGCTTCTCCTTGGCTGTTCAACCTATTTATGGACATGTGTTTGCAAACTTTGAAAGATGAAGAATGTGGGTTAAGAATGGACGAGTTAACCATCAAATTCCTTTTGTATACCGATGATCAAGTCATATTTGCGTCATCGGCGGCTGAGTTGCAAATGATGGTGACATTAATGAACTGGGCATTGAAAGAAAGGGGAATAAAAGTGAACGTAAGTAAAACGAAAATGATGGTTTTTGAAAGAGAAGAAAGCAAAACGGTATATGAAATAAGAATAGAAGGAGAGTTAATTGAGCAAGTGCATGAGTTTGTGTATTTGGGATGTGCATTTAGCAGGGATGGTAGATATGATAGGGATATATAACGACGAGTAAATGCAGGGAATAGAGTGAATGGGGCACTATACTCTATTATGAAGAACCAGAATGTGTCAAAAAAGGCACGTATGGTAATTCATAATGCTGTGTTAGTCCCTACTTTAATGTATTGTAGTTAAAGCTGGGTGTGGCAGAGGAAGCACGAAAGTAGAATAAATGCTGTAGAAATGCGGTCTTTAAGGAATATGCTAGGGTTGAATCTGAATGACATTGTGAGAAATTGCGTGATAAGAGATAAATGTGGTATGCAAGATGATGTTGTGACCAGGATTAAGAAGGGAATGCTTCGGTGGTTTGGTCATGTAGAAAGAATGAATGAGGAAAGAGTGACAAAGCAAATTTATATGGCAGATGTGAACGGCCGAGTCGGGAAGGGACGCCCTAGAAAAAAGTTTATCGACCACATAGATATTTTGAAAATGGGCCGTTAGAAGTACCCTTAACCGACGAGCATGTATGCGTAGATATATGGATGTAAAGGAGGCGAAAGAGGTATATCAGGATCGTGCCAAATGGAAGTCCGTAGTCTCTGCCTACCTCTCTGGGTGACAGGCGTGAGTGTTTATATATATATATATATATATATATACTTGGGTTTAGTTTTTCTGTGTTAACATTGTTAAATAGGTATAAGAGCGAAGCCATACGAAGCATCGCGGGGGCGACGTGGTGACACGATGCAATAATTTCATCATCATCATAGCTTCACCATGACTGCAGAATTAGCATTATACACTCGAACGCTCAATGAAAAAACAATCACAAGGCCTGGTACTAGAAGCTCTAAGTTTATTGTTGTATCGCACTTAAGAGTGTGCCACGAACCCACGGATATTAATAAAAGTACCGTGTGACTTTGCTCTGAATAAATTCTTAAGTATTATTTGAATAAAAAGCGGTGCCTTACGTTTTCAATGTAATCGTTTAAAAAATACTAACATTGGTTTTGCCGCTCAAGTTTTGATTTCCACATTCGGGAAGGATGATAACTAGCAATATTGTAGAGAATATAAGTAGGGATGATAAGAATAGCGTTACAGTGCACAAATGAATTAATCATAACCGTATTGAAGGGGTTAATACGCCAAAAGTGATATTAATATAAATAATATTTTAAACATTGAGTATATAAAGGGCGAAATTCAAGATGATCCTAACTGACACTGAAGGAACCAATTATAATAATATTCAATTAGAAAATTGATGAATGTTTATTACTATATTTTTTGGGGTTTGTAGATATGAAAACATGTAATTCGTAAAAAAAAACAATACAAAATACGCTAGTAAATAGAAGATAAATAAAATGACGTAAGTGCCAACATATATTAATTAGGTCATATGATGACATGGTTTAGTCAGTAATGACCACTTTTCACACTAATGAGGAATTGCAAGTAATTCAGGAAGTTTGTAAAGCAAGTAAATTTTTCGTAGAATTATCTATAAAATGGTTTGATAAATAATAAAATGTTATTTATAGAACTGATGCATAGTTTTGCATAAAGGCATAAAATAGAGCCTAGAATAGCCTATTACTAAGAGCGTCGTTGCTACGTACGGCGTCTCCGACGAGCCATTCAAAATCAAATATGACTGGCAACCAGGGGTATTTTTGCTTTTAATTTGAAGAGCTTTTGATTCTATCATCATCTATTGCCATTTACGATGGTTAAAGAAATTGAACGATATGGTTACACAGTTATTTATGAAACAATGAATAATAGTAATGCTCTCAAATACAGACTTCGTTATTCATACTCACTTCACTTTAAAAGCTAGTGCACTTGCAGTATTAGTAGTTTCACTATGGCGTATGTGGCTTATGCCTAGGCCACACACATCGCGATAGAATCCCAGCTTCGCCTCGGGCCTACGGCGCAGATGCCAGCCAGTAAGTTTATCGATAGTTTATTGAGATAAGAAAACGCTAAACACAAAATGGGCGCCGCGGTCGCTCTATGTTTTAAGGAATCGAATAAATATTTTTTATTTCATTTTTGGCAACAGGGGACAGGTTAAAGTTCTTAGCCCACTTACACGACTCTGCTCCAACACCGCTCCTACCCAATAACACCCGGAACTATGGCGACAACTAGCTGTCACCCAGCAGTCCACGCGGCGACAGCTAGCAGGCACCCAGCTGTCCACGCGGTGACAGCTAGCAGGCACCCAGCTGTTCACGTGGCGACAGCTAACAGGCACCCAGCTGTCCACGTGGTGACAGCTAGCAGGCACTCAGCTGTCCACGCGGCGACAGCTAGCAGGCACCCAGCTGTCCACGTGGCGACAGCTAGCGGGCACCCAGCTTTCCACGTGGCGAAAGCTAGCAGGTACCCAGCTGTCCACGCACCGACCGCTTTCGCTTTTCGCGATAGACACAGTTCGTGGTCAGTTTCCATTGAAGCAACTCGTATTTTTGGTATGTCTCGATTCTCAACGCGCGAACTAGCGATTATTGCTATTGGACTTGACGATGAAGATAGAAGCTCAAAAAACAACAGACGAAGATTTTGGGTGCATAAAATGCGGCCGAACGGCGGGCGCGGCGCAGCGACCGCTAGCTAGCACTAGTAGTCAGCGTGTGGACGCCGTGCAGACCGCTTGCTTGCAACGCGTGGTCAACGAGGCGTCGACTACCGAGCAGTCCTGACAGCGGTAAGCTCGCTGTCATTGAGTGTCTGCTAATTTACGTTGCCAATGTAAAATAAAGAAGAATTCTTAAAGCCAATATTTGAATTATATTATTTTGCCGGGTAGGGGCGGAGTCGTGTAAGTGGGCTAAGACCCTTAGACGCCTGCTTTATTTACTCAAAATGTCCCATCGACATATTACAGTTAATAAACGTATATACATTATTTATCTTCACGTTATTAATACTTCAAAAACTAATCGCTGTCGAAAATACGACTTAAATCCTAATTTAATTCTACACGTCCGCTAGGCACGATGTCTGTGGACGAAATTCATCGCTATAAAACGCTTTGACGTGCGAGAGTTTACCGACGAAGAAGTGTCGTAAAGTGACGAAGTATTCACGAATATGGGGCCACACAATTCGGGATAACGCGAATATTCTCGTTATCGCGATGTGTGTGGCTGCGGCTTAAGAGAGTAGAGAGTTTAAGAGAGAAGAGAGAACTTCTTTTCTCTCTGGAACTCCATCTGAGAAGTTGCGACACACTTACCTATTTTTGGCGCTGTGTCCGTGTCTGAATGGTATGGAGAGCCAATATAATTACATATTGTGAGACATTCGTCTCAGTCCTTAGAAGTGAGAACGCATCTATGGCTATCTGTGTTTGAAGTTGATTGCAGATGTTCATGGGCTGCAGTAACGACTCACCATCAGGACCGTAAATTTATCACTTCATTTTAAAAATAAGGTGCTATTGCCTATATGCTAGCAGTCATTTGCGACTTCGCTGATACTAGATAACGATGCTGACGATTATGTCGTCGATTGAGTGTCGTTCCTTTAAATTGTTGATGAAACGAAGGTTTAAGAAACTAGTACTGAAAAACCATTCTATTTATACTATTGACCGTACCCCTAAAACGAAAAAATTTCTAAGTTATGCTTCTTATCTGGTTCAACATCGTACAACCAGAAGCTTGCGGTCTTCGCTCCTTTGTTAAAGAAATACTGTGCATTCACACATTCGAATGAAACATTTCCCTTGTTCGATGCTTATAGCAAAGGTGTAGAATAATTTCGAACTACAGTGTATGTTCAAGACAACAGTGAAATTGGTCTTGGTTATACTGTACCAGTACGCTTAACTATCTCCGGTTAAATCACCATTTACCAAGGACGGATTACTTGCTTATAATAGAAAAAAAAAATCATCTTAATTTGCCAAGACAAATGCCACACGAATAATTTGAATAAAATGATTATATTGTGAATTAATAAATTGATGGGTCTTCCATTGATTTATATTTTTATTCAACTTTCAACCAAACTTATGTGTATGTACACAGACTAATAAGTCTAATTGTAAAGGAATTGATGCCTAATTTTTATTTGGTTTTTTGTTACAATCCATGACACAATGTACTAAGGTTATATCCATGGTATAATGTTAAGGTTCGGGGATTGACGACGCCTTAAGAAGTACTTATTGTTAATAATTTATTTATGTATTTAAATAAAACATGGGAGAATGCTAGAATTAATAATTAGTACTAGAATATAAGTACGCGCTTTTAGTGTATATTCGGGACAACAATTATTGTACAACTTGGATATAATGTAGTTACTACGCTGGAGTTAAAATATTTTGGATTACAAAGTGTAAGCAAACCAAAGAAGTTCATTATTTTCAATAAATTATGTTATATTGTGGATACTGATGTTTTATTTATTTAAAATTAAGAAAATAGAACTACATTTAATTTAAGAAGAGAAGGAGGAACCATATTATTTGATGTAAGTATTGCAAGGAACAATGCTTGCACAGCAGGACATGGCCCATTTCAGGAAGGATTTGCCATATTCATCACGCATGACAGGCGAATCGGCGATCATACCACTAGGCGTCTGTACTCTTGTATACTTATCTTTTTGTCTCACATCTGGTGTAAACGAGATAGTTATACCGCCACTTGTCGGAAGTCTAGGATCCAGTTTTCATTTTCCATAATTGTCTCTTTCTACACCTACGGGATGAAATGGATAAAGTAATCTCTTACACCATCACAATATCGGAAAATCTTATTCAGAATGTCCGCAGCTGACTTATATACAAGAATATCAACAAAATAATATTAACAAACTAATAGAATTTATAGCCTTCATAATATGCTCCATTTTATTTTGTGTTACCTAGTAAATAGCGAATTGAATAAGCTCATTTCAAAATCTTAGGAAAATGTATATTCAAAAATGCAGGTTTCCTCACAATACTTTTCTTCACTGTCCGTGCATGAAAGCATAGTAAAGAATGACATTACGGCGTGCACGTAGTAAAGGAAACCTTAAAATCACAATTAACGGCCAAAATTTAATAAAACGATCAGCCTACTCCTAAACCACCGTAACTAAAATTACTTGTATTCATAAATAATTAAATTAAGATACATATAAGTATTAATTGATGGCGTGAGCTTGGCTGGTATCCGCAATTCCACGTCCAAGCGCCTATTTTATGTGGGGAGTGAATAAAATATTATTCAGGCCACCTGAGCTCTTGCCCAAACAAGTTCTTTATGTTACCATCGACCTCGAGTAGCTAGCAACCGCTAGATAATCAAGTAAATCGTGGGCTGCCGTTTCCTCGTAGCCCATGAAGTCTGCACAAAGGGCTGTCTGTAACACACAAAGATATGTTATGACACTTGTGATCAGTCTAATTTGATGTTTATTAAGTCTGAGTAACCATTAAGAAATTTTAGTGTCAATAGGGTATTTTACATCATGTAAAAAAATAAACAAATATTATGATCGATTTTGTAAAAAGTAAACGAGAAAATATATATATATATATATATAAATTCTATTAGTTTGTTAATATTATATAAAATTGCATTATAAAATTTATATTTCAATTTTAGGAAAATTTTTATTTGTCTGTGCCTCAAATCTGCAAAACGATGTCCGCCATATTACAATCTGTCGTGACGTCACTGATCCCGACTGAGGGTATTATTGTTCTGTGTCACTGATTAAGAGATCTAGCTAAGGTGCTGTGTTATTTTGAAAAATTTTAAGGTATCATTACGATTATTCCGAATTTTAATGAAAGGGCATCATTGAAGAGTAAAAGCAGAGAGTACTAATCTACCAAGGATAAATAAATTGATGGTGGCAAATTTTTTTTGCATTCAATTCCAATTTTGGTTCCGCTGAGTTGAGGAATATTAAAACATCAATGTAAGTACCTATTACCTACTGTTTATACAAAAACACAATACCAGGCTAGAGTGTATTTTGATAAAACATAGTTTAGTAGCAGTCGTAGCTTAGTTTATCTATAATTACAATCATTACGAATCATTGGTTAAAATATCTAAGTTAACATAATTTATAACAAAATTTGACTTGCGATACCCTTCACCTCATGAGGTTTTGTTTTGTATTAAACGATCGTTAAATATGAGGCATACTAACATCAAATGATCTTCACAGAAGAATAGTCTGGTTTTTGTAGACAATGTATATGGGCATCTTTAAGCCATTTTTAACCACGTAGGTATTTATTATATTTAAATCAGTTAGCACTTGAATCTATAACTTTACCGGCGTGCTTATGCTCACATTTTTGCATTTAGGCAGAACACAACAATGATATAGATGATAACTCATTATTAAACATTAAAAAGTATCTTATATCTTTGCAAAATCCGCAAAATTCTAGGACAGTGACGTCACGAGTAGAAACAGCATGGCGGCTAGCGTTTTCACACATTAATTTAAAACAATGGACTAAAAGTGCTTTTATGGCACTATTCGGTTTAAAAAAAATATATAAAAATTATATTGGTTCATTATCACTCTAGGATTCATTTAAAACACTTTTTAAAAATGGATGTAACACCCTATTGTAGGCAGAGCATTCCCATATTGCTTGTGGTTAATCCAAAACTGTGTATGTTGAAGTATACGATTTCGTACTGCCGTCCTTGTGTCCTGTGCCGTGTAGTGGCGATTAAGAATATCCACTACCCAATATCTTCCCGTAAGTGTCGTAAGAGAGGCAAGGAGTGTCGAAGAAACAAGCAGGAGATGGGCAGCAGCATCCTCCTGATAACAGCAACTGTACAACAAAAAAAATTGCGGTTGCCAACCCGCTCTCCAAGCGTGGCAACTATGGCAATATGAATGATGAATTACAAAAATAGATGGCCCCCAGTCCCTGACGCCCCCACTATTCCTGACTACGGTGGCAACCATGGTAACGGTGGGGCAGAGGGTGCTAAGAATCTCCGGTGGAGGTTCGGTTGCCACCTACGACGACTCGACCTGGTAACATTTAACGCACGCACCCTGAGGACTAACGAGAAGATCCTGGAGCTGGAAGAAGAGATAGACAAGTTGCGCTGGAATATTATAGGAATATCCGAGGTCCCAAGAGAGGGGGAGGACTCGGAGATTCTCGAATCCGGCAACTTCTTTTATCACCGGGAGGGCGACCATCTGTCCCAAGGAGGTGTTGGATTTATCGTCCACAAGTCTCTCGTTAACAACATATTAAAGATTGGGAGTGTATCACCGAAAGTTGCTTACCTTATACTCAGAATCACCAAACGGTATTCACTGAAGGTCGTACAGGTTTACGCGCCAACGTCGGAACATCCCAATGAGGAGGTGGAGGAAATGTATAAGGATATTTCCAGAGCCATGCATTCCTCTATAACTCACTATACGGTGTTAATGGGAGACATCAACGCAAAATTGGGCACAAGAAAGAACGGTGAGCTGAAGGTAGGGGAATTTGGGATAGGGCAACGGAACCCAAGGAGCCAGCCGCTGGCCGATTCATGGAGAAAGAGGTACTTTTTATGATGAACTCTTTCATCCAGAAGCGGCCCCACAGAAATTGGACCTGGTCGAGCCCCGACGGTT